AAAGTAGAACTTATCTACATCCCTAGAAAATACCAGCTAGCTGATTTCCTCACTAAAAATGAGAATAATCTGCTACATAAGACATTTATGAAAATGGCTAGCCTGGGACCTAGTGAGGATATAAGATAATAAGGTTTTATCCCCCATGAGGGTTTTATCCTTATAGATCAGCCATATCAAAAGAATTGCCATTCATTCTAGGCTGATATAACTAGCATATTTTTACCTGATTAGAGGTTTTTAATGCTAGAAACTAGCATATTAGCTAGGGAAAGAAACTAGTGCCTTTTTCCCTTTTATAAAGAAAGGTTTTTGCACTAGGAAAATGAATATTTAATCTAAACATTCCCATGTTTAGCTTAAGGGGGGGTGTTGGTGAAAACCATGCTATAGTTGATTGTTGACCATATCCATGGGTTGATCCGCTATGGTTGATCGTTGATCATATCTATGGTTCTAACCTTATGGTCATGGATCATCATTGATCATCATCGATTTCAACCATTAGCAAATGGTGATCTAATCTATGAGATCACCCAGCTATGAGATCATTCAATATTCGAATGGCCTATGCTAGAAGGAATCATCTATAAATACACCCTTAAAATCACCCTATAGCTAGTCATAATTAATTAAGGAATTAAGACATTAAGCTAAGATATCCTTAGCTATTTTTCCTTCTACTATTCTATTCTATTCTACTACCATTCCTCCTATTCTTCCTTTATACCTAGGCAAGCCATCTATTCCCCTCTATATTCATGAAATTTCCTTTGTCATTTATATACTATTTAGTATATACTGTTCATTTTTATTCACAAGCAGTTATTCATCCAGCTTAACCAGCCACCCATTATTATCTGCCGGACCTGCCGCCATGGGGTGTGGCCAGCCGAGGTGGAAGGCCATCTCTAGGGAAAAGCCTATCCCACAAGGGTCGGGAACTGTACTAGAGTTCCGTTAGGGTTTTAACTATATTAGGTATAGTAGCTATCTTAGCATGGTACAGTTCCGTTCTTTTCCTTAGGTACAGGGCTGCTACCAAATCAAGATAGAATTTATTGAAATTTTGGTAGCCTTTTAATTCTGGTATAAAGTCTAAGATAGTAAAATTTCAATGGGAAATTCCTTTCTTTGGGTGTGTTATAGCTGCTCCTTTTTTCCAGCCTTATATGATGGGGTTTACTAAGCTACTAATTAGATAAGGTAAGCATACCAGCTGCATAATTCAGGGGCTCATTCAGTATAAGATTATAATCTTATCATCCTAAATCTGTATCTGAATAGATAAGATCTTTATTCTGAATTAATTTCCTATTATGGAGCATCAGTTCTTCCTAAAATTATCCCAGTTCCCAGTTATTATATGCCGGATATGCCGCCATGGTGTCTGGCCTATCCCACAGGGGGCGGCGACTGTACTTGACACCAAGCTAGGGTTTAGCCCAGAGCGGTTTAGCGGCCGGGGTATGGGGGTAGGGACCAACGAAACCGTCTGGGGTACAATCGTCGCGCCAGATAGAGTCGTATGCATTTCAAATTTTGGCAGGTTACTGGTTAGCTGGTTTCACATAATCTGACCAAATTTCAATTGGGAATTCGATGATTTGCAGCTGTAGTAAGGGTGTGGTTAATGTACGGAATTTTGATGTGGTTTGAGTTGCCGCCAAACAGTGAGAATCTGGAAAGCACTGCCCATGACCACCACCATGGCTCCAGGGGAGGTTGGAGGCAGTTTAAATTTAGCCAGCTCACTGATATACTAGTTCCAAGTAATCCAGCCAAATTTCAGTATCAAAATCAATGATTTGCAGACATGGTGAGGGCATATTTGACCCCCAGGAGTTGGTGTGGTTTGAGTTCCTGCGGATAGAAAAAGCAATGCCCACAAATCAAACATTCAGGGGCTGAATCCCATCATCATTCAGATAATCAGTTAAATAGTATTATATTCATCCAAATGAGCCATTAAGAATGGAACAGCAGTTATTTATTAAGCTTTCCCAGCCACCAGTCATTATCTGCCGGTCCTGCCGCCATGGGGTGTGGCTAGCTGAGGTAGAAAGCCATCTCCGGGGGAAGGCCCATCGATTACCCCAGGCCACTGCAAAGCAGATCCATCAGGACGTCCAGAGCTGGGAGGGTGTGGAGCATGACCCCCATGCTGTGCAATGGCCTAGTCGGATTACCCAGTCAATCCCCCACCTGGATGAATACCCTGATGGGTTACTGTGCCAGCGCGACCAGGCCAGATGCCAATTCATCACTCGTTCACTTGACACGTTAAAACGACATTGGCGTGAGCACCATGGATGGACCGCACCATATCATGGAGGTCGATCACGCCTGCAAGAGCAGGAACAGGCGCAGATCACCATCCAGCAGGGATATCAGGTGGTGACCTGCCAGCGGTTTTTCCCATCCCGAAAAGGGTCCCATTATATCTGGGTGCCATGCCCCCACCAGCAGCCTGAGGAGCAAGCCCGGACCGCACCCACTGCCACATCCAGGGCCACCGTTGATGCCGTGATCCAGGCATGGGAGCAGGTCCAGGCCCAGGCCAAGGCCGATCAGGCCATCCAAGCCAGCCAGTTGACTGACGCGAACCCCTGGCTGCGGATGACTCGGTGGGCTGACTACCTGCAGGGCATCCAGGCACGTGACCTGCTTGCTAGCATGGCAGCCCCGGAGGAAGACCCCATGGATGCCACTGAGCAGGGGGTGCAGGTGATCTGGGATACTATGGAGCAGGTGGCCCGCAAGAGCCAGCGGACGGTCCAGCATTGCGGCCAGGCCATCCGGGTGGAAGCCGTCCGGTCTGAAAAGGGGCAGACCCCGCACCGGCCACTGCTGGCATATATAGATGAGGCCGTGATCAAGAAGCATGTGCAGCCATGGCAGCAGATATTAGCATTTATTGCCCGGACCCAGGCCCCGCATGACTGGGCCAGCCCCCGATATGGGATGACCGCACGGCAGCGCCAGAAATGGCGGCAGCTATGGCAGCTCGCTAGCCAGGCCCCAGGCAGCCAGGGCAGCCAGGCCGCAGTGCCAGGGGACCTAGAGGCATGGGCCATGACTGCTATAGAAAAAGCATGCTTAGAATTTTGCATTGAGCTGCTCAACCAGCGCCATCGCAGCCATGAATATGAGAGTGCATTAGTATGCGCCATGGCTGTGCTGGGCCAGGGTGAGGCCGGCTGGCGCGACCCCGAGAGCTACCCCCCGATATTATCCCGCGTGATCAAGGTGGCCCGATTCATGGTGGTGCAGAAGGCATTATGGATGGACCCCAATCCATGGCAGATCATTCAGACCTGGGCGCGGAAGGACCAGAGCGCAGAATGGGTGCTGGCCAGCGCGGATGATCAACTCGGGGAGATTGATGAGGGATATGGCAGCGATGACCCCCCATCCACCCCAGGGGCCCCATCATCGCCCCCGTCATCCATCCATAGTGATGACCCATTGCCCGCGGTCCACATTCGCCCGAGCCGCCGGCCATTCCAGGAGCAGGTGACATGGATGATGCACCAGTTTATGATCCGTGGGACCCACGGCCCCATGGAGACATTGTTGGACTGGCGCACATATGGATTAAAGGTCCATTATAATCATACGGCCCCCGGCCATGTGACATGGATGGGGGAGGACCAACTGTTATACCAGCAGATGGCATTCACCATGGGGGATTTTCGGGGGTTCATCCATGGGTTAGTCACGGCGGCGCGGGAGATACTAGGCCAGTTATGCATGCAGGACCATGCGCAGATGCCCCCCATTCCATGGACGGCATTATATGACGATCCCAGCCAGAGCCAGGCTGGGTGGAACTTTTTGCACGACGCACGGACCCAGTGGCCGGTGGATGGGACCCACTGGATGATCGACCGGCTGCGGGCCGAGCCGGCCATGCAGCGGCATTTCCTGCGGGGGGGCCGATTCCACCCTGGTGCCATCCAGCAGTATTGGCAGCGCGTGGCCCAGTTTAAGGAGAAATTAGCCGTTATGGTGCATGTGACAGCAGGGCAGCCGGCCCGGGCCCCAGAGCTATTAAGCATTCAGCATTGCAACACTGCGAATAGTCAACAGCGGAATATATATATTGAGGATGGCATGGTGACGTTTGTGACGGCATATCATAAGGGGTTCCATGCTAGTAATGATGTGAAGATCATCCATCGATATGTGCCGCGGGAGGTCGGGGAGTTGGTGGTATGGTATATCTGGCTGGTGATGCCATTTGTCGACCAGTTGGCTGCATGGCAGGCCGCGCAGGTCCCGCAGGGGAGCCAGGCCGCGCAGGGTAACCAGACCGCGCAGGGAAGCCGGGCTACACAGGGAAGCCAGGCCGCGCAGGGTAGCCAGACTGCGCAGGGAAGCCAGACCGCGCAGGGAAGCCAGGCCACGCAGGGAAGCCGGGCTACACAGGGGAGCCAGACCGCGCAGGGGAGCCAGACCGCGCAGGGAAGCCAGGCCGCGCAGGGGAGCCATGGAGCACAAGGCAGCCAGACCACGCAGGGGAGCCAGGCCGCGCAGGGAAGCCAGACCGCGCGGTGGAGCCAGGCCGCGCAGGGGAGCCATGGAGCACAAGGCAGCCAGGCCGCACAGGGGAGCCAGGCCGCGCAGGGAAGCCGGGCCGCGCAGGGAAGCCATGGAGCACAAGGCAGCCAGGCATGGTTATGGGGCCCCGACCCCAGTA